ATTATCCATAAAAACAAATACGAAAAATGATGTTCATAATTGGTTACCATAGCAACAACAGAGACATGCTGACAATGGTAAAAAAAAACAGTGGTGCCTATACATGAAAACATATCAACATATATTTCAAGTTTTAGATGAAGGGAATCGTATAGTGACTCACTTACCAGGAGGCCATGGGTAATTCGCCTACAGTTCCTCGGTGTATTCTTCCGGCGTGGTTCCTCCTTGTCAGTGATGCAGGACAGGTGGCCTGACAAGGACAGCTGTTTAGTCATTCGGATGAGATGAAAAACCGAGGTCCCGTGTACACATTGGCGTTTGATAGATGTTTAAAAATATTAACAGGCTTTAAAATACAGATGTGGCGTCATCCTTTGGTGTTGGCGTACCATTATTTCAAATAATGGTACGATAATGGTACGGGCAATGTGCCAAGCGTACATAATTTATACTACTTGAAATATTGGACGCGCGTGACGTATTTCATTGAAATGCGCGTGCTAGATAGTGTCTGTATTTTAAGTTGTTTAATGGTCCCGCGCAAGACATTGCGTAATATCTAGATATATAGCCCTCGTGCTATCGTACTCGTACAATATCATTAATATAATAATATTACTTAACGTCTTATTTCATTTCTTTCGTTGAACATTGTTATAGCGAGAGAAAAGAGAGAGGGGGAGAGAGAGAAGAATGGGTTTAACGTCCACTCGACACAAGCTATGTCATTTTGGGACTAACATGGTTTAATTCTATTTCAATAATTCGCATGCGCGTAGGAGTCTTTAGCAGTGGGAGGAAACCGGAGGACCCGGAGAAAAACCCGCGAGGTTAGACAGGCGACCTTAAGCCTTGTCACGTACAACCAGGGAATCGAAACCATGGCAGTTGACCCAATGACAGACCTTATGGTACAACCAGCTCGTGCTAACCATTCGGCCATCCAACCCTCCATATTGGATAGCGAGTTAATATTACTATGACGACGATCAAGGGAGCATTTATTACTGCGTGACCGATAAAAGACATATTGGATTAAACATTAATTCGTTTTTAACAGAGAAAATCGGTCTAGTGAGAATACGATATTGATCGAGGTAATGCAATGGTTTTACAAGTTGACGTAAATATCTTTTATGGCCACAAATTAAACCTGCTTCCTATTGTACAATTTTATTTGTATTTTGTACAACAATTTATTGTTTAGTATAAAAATGAATTTGTGTATTAAATGAGATATCAGACCGACGATATATAACCCGCGTTCTGGGTGATGTGAGGGGTTAGCCAATGAAACGGCGATTTTTTGGCGTGAGGTACACGGAACTGTGGTTAATCCACTATAGAAACATCTACGCTCGCTCAAAAGTCGCTCGTATGACCTGATTGACCTCTGACGCGACCTTTCACTACAACAGGCCAGATCTTCGTGTAGTCTGTATTTTAATCGGATTGAATTCTTATGGTACCCCATTGCAAGTTTTAACTTTAGCATATACTGCTCAATCATCCCAAAATTCTTACATTGATACTGGAGGAATGTAAGGTTGGTTAAAATGATTTGACTCAAACATAAAATATATAATGGCGATTTAACTACTATTGTGGGTATCTATTATTTAAAAGTTCCCAATATTGTTGACGTTTCAACATTCATTGCTTGATAATGACTAGAGAAGCCTAGTGGAAACGTCGCTCAGTAATAAGCAGTAATTGTATTCTATAGAATTGTGACATTCCCAGATACAGCAAAACACTTTTGTTTACTATTTCATAACAAAACGTAATTAATTTCGGCAAAATATATATATATATATTACTGGGTGAAGACGGCTATTAACACACCTTTGTGAACTGGACAGAGTCTACAGTTTTTAACGGTTTTATTTCGCCAAATACTATGTAGGACGTTCTATTCGAGAGATTATGTGAACACGACAGAGATAACATTTGCTGAGAGCATAATGGATCCTTTTGAAACTTGGTCAACTACCAAGTTTTCGTTTTGAATAGACTGTTCTGTGGGCTTTATTTGTTTAAGTAATACCCCAGGGCCATATATATAATATATATATTTATCTTTGTTTCAGCAATAACTCGTACTATTTTTAAATATATTCGATATTTATTTTTTTTTTTTTAATTATTAAAAAATAACCCGGGGATATAGAGAATATCCGATATATATTGACGAATTTCTATTGTTAAAGATATATTCATATGACAGTATGTATAAAGTGGTTATTTCCAATACAATTATGACTGGTACAGTAAACATACTTAATCTTACCAGAAATATACTGGATTCCCTGAAAAACATCAATGGGCCGCACACAAGACCAAAATGTGAAGGTATCTCTAAAAGCCAGCGCGTCTCCCCGAGTGGCATAAGGTGCGCTTCTTATGTTACGTGTTGATCTAGTAGTTAACGGTCGTGAAGAAACCATTAAGAGAATTAGATTCTGTGATTAAACGGCGAAAAAATTATATCCTATACACTGTAATAAAAAAATCCGTGAAAAAACGTAAAAAATTCCGGAAACAAAAATTACCAGGAAAATTTTATCCGCATTTGTTTTTCCTGTAATTTACAGAAATTCCTTCGATTAACATAAATTCCATTAATTAGAAGGAATATTATAAGAGGATAATTGTTAGGAATGATTATACGATTACTTATCGTTGCATTTGCAAACAGAAATAATCCGAAAAATAATTACTGGTCATTCCACCGTTTATTCCGTAAAATAACAGAATTAAGTCCATAATAGCATGGATTAAAACATGTTATCCCTAAATTTCAAGGAAATTTCATTTCCTGTTTAATACTGAATATTCCACAGAAATACATAAAACCCGTAATTTGAAGAAATAATTCACACATTTAACACCATTTCTCCCCAAAAAAGCCATTGATTAACAGACAAAAAGTGTTAAACTACGGAATTCGACCACATAAAAAATTGATATTTTTTACAATGTAGTTTGTACGCGGGCTTGTGTCTTTAAGTAAGGTTAGATGCAGGACAATTTATTTTTATTTCTGACTTCTGTTTATGAGATGGTTGTTTACGTAACGAATGATAACAACTTTCAATTGATAAATAAAGAAAAGTTTATGGGAATTATTTGCTGTAGTTCCGAGTATTGCTGTTAAGTCAACATTTTGTTTTAATATCGAACATTACTATATTGATATCTTTTCTAGACATCGCTTCACAAACAAAATGAGAACGAAAATAAACCGAAACGAAGCATTTTAAAGTTACAATTTAATATTTTTAAGTTATATATTTAAAATTTATTAAAATAAAGCCTTAAAATAGATGGTATCTATAAACAGTCCTACCTTGTTAAAGAATAATCCTATTAATCCTATAAGTCACTATTGCCAGTTGAACAATTGGCAAAAATATCATTTTCAACTTCAAATTCAAAGGTTTGAAGATAGCTACTCCATGGTGGGAGAATAAAAAACAAGGGGGGTAATTGGGAGGTTATTGTGTTATTATTTCCGGTGTAAATGAGTTTTAAGTGTGAGAATGACACCTATGATCGTATAATAGTGAGTTGACAACCTATTGAGCAAAAGACATAGAAATAATTATGTTTTGACTTTCTTAGAAAATATGAAATTGTAACTTTAAAAATAACATAAATGAGACTGGCATTAGAGAGGGTATTGTACCGGGTTGTGGTATTTGCATCTTCTTTTTGTTGAATTCGAACAACCAGGGGTTATTTTACATGATCTTCAATATGTGAAATGAAATGAAGTCTAGGTGTCTCTTTCAGATGTACACCTCGGTCAACACCGGGATTGAACCAATGATGTACTGGTTGGTGGTTCATCCTCTTACTCAGTGAGCCACCGTGGCTTTGTTACCAATAGAGTAACAGTGTGGTTTACGCGCTTGTATTAAGCGCACCTGTAGACTCCAGGGTGCTTTATCTGCCACCCTGAGAGACCAAACATTACAGTGGTGCCATCACAAGCATAAAGAAATATCAATTAATAAATCATTAAAGGTGTTAAAATGATTGTTGCGGGTGCAGACTTTTAACCCTAAACCTACCAGTTAGCGTTTGTTGCCTGGGGAACGTTAGGTCTACGGTCAGTGGACATTTCTATTATTAGCATCTGTGTAACATCCGTTGTCTAAACCTAACCAGTTAATACCTATATTAATATAGTTAGTATGTATATTAGCACATAATATATATATCCAGTATGACCGATATGCTTTGCAGATAGTAATGCCACGAATTACGTCAGCCGTATAGTAGAAGATACCCTGCAGGCGAAAGTCCGACAGCAGAGTCAAAAACCCAGTAGTTTTAACACAACGAAATGCCTGGTTTACTTTAAATCACATATCCCTAAACTGAGAGAGAGAGAGAGAGAGAGAGAGGGGGGGAGAGAGAGGGAGAGAGAGAGATGGGTCAATTTTTTTTCAAAAATTCGCTGACTCGGAGAAAACCCACGAGGTTGGACAGGCGACCCTACTCCTTGTCACGTACAACCGGGTAATCGAAACCATGCCACTTGACGGAGGGCCTGACAAGGACAGCTGTCTAGTCGTTTGGATGGGACGAAAAACCGAGGTCCCGTGTACACGTTGGCGTAAAAGTAAAAGATCCCTTGACAGTTGGAATTGGATTTAAGAGTAGGCCGTGGTGCCGTTGTCCGGGCAAAATTTCCCTCATAGCACACTGCATGGCGTATACTCTTCTTCATCAGCCCAGTTTGGAGCAGAACAGTAGGACGTGAAACCCCATTTCATTACATTTCTTTTATCTTAACCTACCAGGAAATTATCGCTAGTATGGAAATTGTTAATTATCTAAGAATCATGGGGTTTGGGCGTGCGCTTAAAATCGATATAAACTAATGCTTGTATATATTTATATATATATATATCAACAGGTAATCGATGTCTCACCTGCCCTACCTGTAATTTGTTCGTTCGACGGTGACATATCTGATGCTATGACAACCAAGCAACATGTGCAGTTCCAGGAATCGTTCGACAGAAAGCTAGCGGAGTCTAGAAGTTGTTAGCATTACACGCAGGAAGGATTGGAAAGTTAATCAAGGCAGTCAGAATTTTAAATATAAACTTATAACACTAGGTAAGCCAAGTCTGAAACCTTTCTTCTTTAATTTAGTTTCTTAATTTAAAAAAAAAAATGTTTTTTATTTAGTCTTAATTCTATGTTTTAAAATCTAATTTAGACATATAACATTTATCTTTCTGATTCTAAACTTTTTACCAAAAAAATTTAGTTTTCATTTATTAGTCTTTATTCTATATTTATTGAGGGGAGCCACTGTGGTTAAGTGAATAAGACGCTGAGAACGTTCATCGGGAATTTTCCGATGTGGTTTCCCCTTGTCAGTGGTGCAGGAAGGAGGGCCTGACAAGTACAGCTGTCTATTCGTTAGGATGGGACGAAAAACCGAGGTCCCATGTACACATTGGCGTGCATCTACACGATCCCTTGGCAGTTGGAATTCGATATAAGAGTAGGTTGAAGCTCCCAGTCGGAGCAGAAGAGTAGGACGTTAAACATGATTTCATTTTCATTTCATTTCTATATTAATTGAGTTGAAATGAGACGAACATGTACGACTTTCCATTCTGTAACTGCTGGGTTAATGAAGATAGGCATACTCCATGTAGCGTACTTCCTTAGGGGAGATTTTGCTGACTAATCTTAATCGATTTCAACTTTCAGCGGATCTCTACCCTGCTAAAAATGAGACGAGTTGCTGCTAAATGATAAGACCAGCTCAATTTGTCGTCATAGATATTACAATAGAAACACAATTAAACGACTGAATGTAAATCAGTTTATATACATTCATATTACATTTTTATATGCGTTGCGACCCATTTGTGTCCATTTCTAGGTGCCAAATAATAAGGATTTAGGGTTAGGTCTATTTAATTAGGCCAACTTCAAGTTTGATCAAAGTAGACGAGATGTAAACAGGGCTAGCGCTAATCACAACCCTACTGTCTGTTCCACCTGATACTCCGACTCGAAAATTGCTTGCCATTTTTTTAATTTTTTAATTAAAATGGTTAAAACTTTGTGACATATCTGGAATTTTTCACCCCTTTGGTTTCTTATGGTAGCCTAAATGACTAGAAGTCCGATAAAATCCAGTATTCTCTAGAAAATTTCATATATTTCGACATTGTCACTTTCTCAGAAAATAAACATTACGACTACGCATGCGTTAAATGGAGCGCTTGCATATCGTATTAGGGTAGACAGGTGCTATACAAATTGGGTGCATTCGGTTAGAAATGTCTCGAGAAGGAGAATTCGTCCGTTTGTTTCGCGACAATAATACTTATTAGGGTTTCACACTGTGAAGCTTGTGTGAAACAATATCGTTTTCATTCAGGTTAATATGGGTTTTTTTCTGTTTCCACCTTGCTCATTTCCCAGAAAAATTCTTATTGCATCACTTGGAGTGACGTAAAGATTAAAGTATTTTGAAAAGTCGACACATGTCAGAACCATGCGAACTCTGCGAATTATGTAATTTGGTATAAAAGGTTAGGTCTTATTTAAATTTTAATAATTGTATTGGGTAAAATGATTCAGAATTTTGTTTTTTAAGGCTCTATAGTTCTGTTTAAGAGCAAAGTCTGGGAATGTGGCAATTTTAGAAATGGCGGCAATGTTTCGCTCGTCTATTTGTTCGAAATTATTACGCTAGATATAGGAGAAAACAAATAAGCTCTGACCAAGCGGTGTGGGGGTGGAGTGTGTATGGGGGGGGGGGTCTGGCCCGGAGTGCCCCCCCCCCCTCTCAGTGGTGCAAGATGGAAGCCCTGGTAAGGGACAACGTATAGTCGTTCAGATGGGACTAAAAACCAAGACCCCGTGTACCCCGACAGTTCGATTTCGATGTAAGAGAAGGCCATAGCATCGCTGTCCGGGCAAAAATTCACCTTGTAACACACTGCATGGCTTAGCCCAGTCGAGACAGAACAGTAGGACGCTAAATACCTTTTGTATATAAGAATTGTATTAATTTGACCATTGTGTTTTTGTTTCAGGACATCATGAGAGTTAGTTTGAATTATTTCACCATACCAACAGTTCTACTGGTTATATATCTCCATGGCGGTTCTTCAAGTAAAGATCTTCATTATCTTTATTATATAGCTCCTTTAGTATCTGTCTCTGATCGGACAATGTCCGCTGATAGTTCCTGTCCCTTCCTATATACCGTCACGATCACCGGACAATTAGTTCCTTTAGGGACTGTCTCTGATTGGACGATGTCCGCTGACAGTTCCTATTCCTTCATATATACCGTCACGATCACCGGACAATTAGTTCCTTTAGGGACTGTCTCTGATTGGACGATGTCCGCTGACAGTTCCTATTCCTTCCTATATACCGTCACGATCACCGGACAATTAGTTCCTTTAGGGACTGTCTCTGATTGGACGATGTCCGCTGACAGTTCCTATTCCTTCCTATATAGCTGCATTATCAAAATACAGTACAATACCGCTTTTCCGCCACCACCTCTGTTCTTGAGCTATTTTGGAACCCTTTACCTTTTTTTACCGTGATTCTTTCTTTTTCGCAAAAGGAATTATTCCTCACCATATCTGACACAAATTTATAATAATTCAACACTATTTTCAAATAGACTTTGGCGATTAAATAAACATGTGGTCTGCGCATGTTTGAGTTTCGTAATGGCTAATCAGTTTAAACGTAATTTGTGTATGTTTTTAATCGCAGAATTCTACTTGAAAATAGTGTTGAATCATTATAAATCTGTGTCAGCTGTCGCAAGAAATGATTCGATAAGGATTCCAAAATAGCCTTAGACGAGAGGTGGGAATGAGCGGTATTTTCATATTGCAGCTATATAGCAAGCGGTAGGAACTGTCAGCGGACATCGATCAGAAACAGTTCCTAAATTAACTAAGGGAAAATCTAATCTGGCGGAGTTGTGTTAGGGCCTATATCCCCCTGTCCTGTAAGTTTATATTACATGAATAGGGTGAACGATCTCGTCAACCTGATAATAGTATCTGATATTTTTAAATCAAGAACTAGTTCCATACATTTGGTAATCTGCTTGTTGTTATGCTACTTCTGGTTCTGAGGGCGGTACTCTTCAATTCAAAACGACGTGAGACTAGCATGAATGTTATTTGGACAATTGCGCATCAATTGACGAACGTTTTTTGATATGGCGTCACAATTTCAAATTGGATTTGATGACGCCATGTTAAGTTACGGGTTCAAAAAAAATTGACTCCCTTTTGTTTCTGTTGTAAAGTGGGTAATTAAATGAAGATAGGATTTTGCCCGGACACCGGAGTTTTGAACTGAAACTGCCATGGGAACTGTCACGTGCACTTAGGCACTGCGGTTAATTATATCTCATGTCAACCTAACGACAGTGGCACAATATTTACCTCTGAGTAAATACATCCTGACAAGAATTCAAATCGGCGCCATTCTCGTTATCAATATAACGTATCACAGGCGGGGTTGATGGTCGAATGGTCTGTCATTGAGTCAACTGCCGTGGTTTCGATTCCACAAGGAGTAGGGTCGCCTGTTCAAACTTGTGGGTTTTCTCCGGGTCCTCCGGTTTCCTCCTACTGCTAAAGACCCCTACGCGCAAGCGTATTATTGAAATAAAATTAAAACATATGTTAGTCCTGGCGTTTAACGTCCACTCGACATAAAATAGGTCATTTCGGAACTAGGAGTTGAAATGAAATGGAGTTTAACATCATACTATTCTGCTGCGACTCGAAAAGAAGTTGAACCTCTCTACAGTCCGTGAACAAGTCATGGCACTTCAAATTTATCTATAAAATAATTACTATAATAATTTGTCTTAAAATAACTAAAATAGTTTTCAATCTGGTCGTTAGGTTACAATTCTACAGGGCGTGGAGTCATTAGGTTAATATTCCACAGGTCGTGGCGACATAAGATTAATATTCTACAGGTCGTGGCGTCATTAGGTTAATATTCTACTAGGCGTGACGTCATTATGTTAGTACTGTACAGAGCGTGCCGTCATTAGGTTAATTATACCACAGGTCATGACGTCATAAGGCTATACGTGACGTCATTGGTTATAAGTATACACGACCTGACCTCATTAGGTTACTATTCTACACATCTTGACTGGCCAAGGGTTACGATTCGTTTCTCTTGAAAAAAATCAAATCGTAACCCTTGTCCAGCGAAGATGTATTGTACAGGGCGTAACCTCACTAGAATAGAATCGATTATATTACACGTACTTTGAATATAAATGACGTTATTTAACTGTTTATGAAATAAGAGAATATGTCACGCAATATTATATAATTACATCAGATATATTTTTTATTTCTGTAGGTTTATCAATATAATCTTGTTCTTAACTTCTATAATTACAAAACCGATCAATTGTATAAATCTTGCAGTACGTGACGTGATGACCGTATAACATGAGGGAGAGAGAAATGGGGATTAAAGTCCATACAACACAAACTAGGTTATTTCGGGACTAACACATGGTTCAATTTTATTTCAATAATTCGCTTGCATATATGGGTCTTTATCAGTGGGAGGAAACCGGGGGACCCAGAGAAAACCCACGAGATTGCACAGGCGACCCTACTCCTTGTCACGTACAACCGAGGAATCGAAACCACGCCAGTTGAGTCAATGAACACGATTGTTCAGAATGAGATGAGTTTAACGTCCTACTTTTTTGTACCTACTGGTATAATGAAGACGGGTGTACGCCATACAGTGTGTCATGAGGGAAATTTGCCCAGTCAGCAATTGAATTTTAACTGTCAAAGCTTATTTTACGTGTACGCCATTGTTTCATACCATCCGAATGACTAGAGTCCTGGTCCACTGGTTGTTCAGACTATAGTGGGTACAACTTGGAAACAGGGCGTGGCATGAAACACAATGTCTAGTAAGAGAGAAAGAGAGGCAGAGAGAGAGAGAGAGAGAGAGGCAGAGAGAGAGAGAGGGGGGAAGAGGGAGAGTGGGTTTAACGTCCATTCGACACAAACTAGGTCACATCAGGACTAACATATGGTTCAATTTTATTTCAATAATTCGCTTGCACGTAGGTATCTTAAACAGTGGGAGAAAATCGGAGGACCCGGAGAAAACCCACGAGGTTGGATAGGCGACCCTACTTCTTGTCACGTACAACCGGGGAATCGAGACCACGCCAGTTGACTCAATGACAGACCTTATGATGCAGCGCACACGCGTTAACCATTCGCCCTCACCCCCGCCCCCAATTGACAATTTGAATTTGAAGACGATTGGGTGGTAATACCACTGCCCTGGTAAAATTGCGCTGTATGAAAATGGAAACAAGCCCACAATGAGGGAGACAATCCACAAACGCAAAATGCGAAAGGCATGACATCTTTCAAACATTGTGTATTATACTAATATGGGTGATAATATATAGGCCTATTAATGACAATATAATAATATGTTACATAAGACCTTTAAGCTGTTGTAACATGAGTATACGTGTTCTTATTTTCTTATCAAGATGAAATACGTGGAATACCACGTGGACTTCTTAAATTACAAGTCAATTATTAGGACTAATCTTTAATATACAATTTGCTCGAGCGGTTTTTTCTTCTAATTGTTCCACGCTCAAGTATCAGATATACACTGTAATAAAGGGGGCAAATAAACCTACGAGTTATGGGGTTTAACGTCCTACTGTTCTGCTCCAACTGGACTAATGAAGACGGGCATACATCATACAGTGTGCTATGAGGGAAATTTTGCCCGGGCAGCGGCAATATACTCTTATATCGAATTCCAACAGCTAAATGATAAGGCCAGCTCAATTTTGCGCCATAGGTCACGACATGTAAACAGGGCTAGCGGTAGTCCCAACCCTAATCCTAACCCTAACCCTGGACATAGCGTCATTGCTTACCTTAACCCTAACCTACAATCTCGCCAACAATCACGTGCCCTAGCCTTATTTATACCTCAGCGACCTTGACAAAAATTGAGCCAGCATTAACAAATAGATTTAGCTTGTGACCACACTAATGGGTGTGATTTGTGACGTTAAAAGGTATTTTAAATGAGATAACCTACCGTGCTCCTCCACACCACTGTATAATGGATTTAGGCCAAAAGATATAATTTACAATCATAAAACGTTGTCAAAGTAGTGTCAACTTTACACGTATGTTGAGCTGCAAAACTAATTTTTGGGGGGAAAAGATCATTGTATGTGACGTGACGAGGATTTCCATCAAAGCTTATATGAGCATGTTTAAAACTTAAAGGGACTATTTGCGAGATTTGGAGACAGGGCTGGTTATTCTGGTTCTAATATTTAAATAATAGATACTGAAAAATTAATATATTGACAATTTCATTCAAATTACTTTATTCTGTGTGACGTTTTTACTGGCTACGTTTATTTGGCTTCAGTCAGAGGATGCAATGAAACTTGTATTAAAGTTACTTTACCATTAATCAAAATAAGAATTTTTAATAAGAATAGAAAATAACTCTATTATTCACGCCTTGGAGCGTTGTTTTAGGAATATTATACCTTCACAGACCACAGGCGACAGTTGGAATTCGAAAAAGGGGGTGGCCGAATGGTTAATGCGTGCGTGTTGTATCAGAAGGTCTATCACTGACAAGGAGTAGGGTCGCCTGTCCAACCTCGTGGGTTTTCTCAGGGTCGTCCAGTTTCCTTCCACGGCTAAAGACCCCTGTACGCGCAAGCAAATTGAAATGAAATTAAACCATATGTTAGTCCAGAAATTACCTAGTTTGTGTCGAGTGCACGCTAAACCCCAATTCGTTTCACAGAGATCTTCAAATATCTCTGTAACAGATGACTGTTTCGACACGTGACGTCACATCACGCGGCGTCAATCATTGGCTCAATAGCGCGTGCATTGTTTACATAAGACGTTACTGATTCGGGCTTAATGGTGAATTTTACTTATTTTTATACCCATTTACACAAAATAGGAAATGATTTTTACCTACAATAATTCAAACGTCTGTATTTATTTTTCTAATGAAAGAAAAAAATGTTTTAGAATTTAATTTGACGGAAGAAAAAAGTTAATATTTGGGACTCATTAAGTCGCATCGATGTCATCCTTATCAGTGATTGTAGCGGCCTAGCGAAAATTCACTGCTGATCAGTGTGGCTATACCCGTCTCTCATTTATTGACTATCTTCGTGAGATTTCAGAATATTTCATCTTGCTCAGCCATGTTAGTGTTTTAACATATCGAGGGTCGCTAAGTGTGTAAGACGCTGGCTCGCTAGCCTGGAGGTCGGGTATTCGATCCCAGCGTGGTTCCCCTTTGTCAGTGATGCAGGACGGGGGGGGGGGGTCGGACAAGGACAGCTGTCTAGTCATGAGGACGGGACAAAAAAACTGAGGTCCCGTGTACACATTGGCGTGAACGTAAAAGATCCCTCGACAGTTGGAATTCAAGATAAGAGTAGGCCGTAGTGCCGCTGTCCGGGCAAAATTTCTCTCATAGCACGCTGTATGGCGTATCCCCGTCTTCATTAGCCCAGTTCGGAGCAGAACATTAGGACGTTAAACCCCATTTTATTTCAAGGGAATAAATGACTAAATAATAATAATACTTTGCAATGGGTAACTTTAAAGATACATTATGTAAGATTTTGATAAAGAACTAGCCATTCTTGCTATAATAGTTCGAAAGTAGATGATGTAAAATGAATAATTTGAAAATTTCATTCAAATTACTCTATTGCAAGCGAAGATATTAGCCTTTGAAGGTTTGACAGACGTGTGCAATAATTTCAACCACCGTACTGGTTGATTGAAGCTAAGTCTTGGTCCTCCATATTTGATTAAATCAAAGTATGGCTGAACCATTCTAATCTATTTAATATCGGAGAAATCTGATGCCATCGAGAGTTGATTAAGGCCCAGACCAGTTAATTAATGTCTAATTAATAATTTAGAAAACATTTCAGGCCTAAAGAAAGACCTGTAATAGGCAGATTTAGCTCTTGTATAATATATGTTTAACTATAATATAATGTAATACACCTTTAAAGACGTGCAAATGTTCGATAACATTATCGCGCTGTGAATCTTAATTAACCCCTCCACATTCTGAACACATGAATAAACTAATAATCCACATTGTCGTCGAGTTGTTAATTTAAATAGATTGATTATAATTCAGGTATTTGTATTCAGTTATATGCATGAAGGTGTCTAATTACTCGCCGAGAATATAATATTATATGTTTATGGTGTCGTGCTTTTGAATACATTGTGTGGGGTGAGGTTACGCCTCCTGTGGTTGTCATTAGAAGTATTTACTTGGAACAACAACAAAATATGCTTTGATAACATTGTTGCTTATAGATTTTATACAAGAAGCTAAACGCCTAACTCGTTATATTGCACATTAAGAGCACGGATTAGAATTCAATAATGGTCTATCACTATTAATGCTGTTATCTTGCGGTAAACATATGGAATCATAAGTTTCAATATGTTAATAACACACAAAAACATTTTAAAATAGTGTCATTTGTAATCAGGCGTCTTGATGAATGAGGCAAAACGTCAATGCGAAAAAAATTATATGTGTGTATGTGAGAGAGAGAGAGAGAGAGAGAGAGAGATGGGGTTTAACGTCCACTCGACACAAACTATGTCATATGGTTCAATTTTACCCGTCTTTAGTCGTGGGAGGAAACCAGAGGACCCGGAGAAAACTCACGAGGTTGGACAGGCGACCCTACTCCTTTATTATCTGTAGACAAGATATTAAATGATTCATGTGTTTCAAGTTTCTACATGTAACATATACAACCAGGGAATCGAAACCACGCCAGTTGACTCGATGACAGGCGTTATGATACAGCGCGCACGTACTAACCATTCGGCCATTCGGCCATCCAACCCCCGTGAAATTATATGTCAAAACGAAATGAAATGAAATGGAATGGGGTTTAACGTCCTACTGTTCTGCTCCGAACTGGGCTAATGAAGACGGGCATACGCCATACAGTGTGCTATGAAGGAAATTTTGCCCGGACAGCGACACTACGACCTACTCTTATATCGAATTCCAACTGTCACGGGATCTTTTACGTGCACGCCAATGTGCACACGGGACCTCCCGACCTCCAGGCTAGCGAGCCATCGTCTTACCCACTTAGCCACATGATACCCCATGTCACAAAGAACTCCCGATGTAAACTGGTTAAATCTATGCACACCTGCAGATTTCATCATAGGTCACGAGATGTAAACAGGGATGGCGCTAATCCTAACCCTAACCCAAGACCTAGTTGTAAGCCGTACCCTAACCCTAACCCACAATCCTCGGCAACAATCACGTGCCCTAACCCTGTTAACTTCTCTCATGACCTTAGGGAAATCTGCAGATGTACTTGTGAAATATACTCTTCAAAAAAAGTAGGGGATATTGAAATGCAAATACCAATGTAGGGTGTGATATGATAAATAGTCATGGACACTTGACATGCTTTGAGAGTATGTTCACAGATGAAGAACTTATTCCCCCAACAGAACCACTGAGATGCATATGCGACACACAATAGCGTCATACACGTGGGAGGGGTTCATTGTCAAATTTGACACTTCAAGGAAGGGTTGATGCAAATACTCATTATTTTCACTTTTGACAGTGTATCTCTTTGCGATTAGCCGCCCATATGAACTGTTTATGTTCATGTGTAGGCAATTGGCCTGTTATTAACATACACTGGTTACCTCTAATAAAAACAGCCGTGCATTTCCGCAGTTTTGTATTGTTTCTGAAAATCCCTTACTATTTTTTGAAGAGTATATATCTAGCCATGTAAACTGTATTCACCAGGTTTCAAAGGTATTTCACCAAATATATTTAACTAATTAGATGATTAGAAACTATTGTTAGAGAATTGAATGTAAATACATTAAACATCATTAAGCAAGAGCTAAATCTGTCTATTGCAGGTCTTTCATTAGGTCTGAAATGTTATCTAAATTATTAATTAGACATTAATTAACAAAACAAGACCATAATCAACTCTTGATGTCATCGGATTTCTCCGATATTAAGTTTTTATATGTTCACATTTAAAGATACATTAAAAATACATTATGCTTATTGCAGGTCTGTCATTCTTTAGGTCTGAAATGTTATCTAAATTATTAATTAGACATTATAACTTATCCAGACCATAACTAACTCTCGATGTCATTGCTAGCCTGCGATATTTACTGGATTAGAATCCGATTTGCTGCTCAACTTTCATTCATGATTAAATCATGAAATGGATAATCGAGACTATGTTTTTATCGTACCGACTTTAGTAATAATGGTTAGGGCTAGGCCGAAAATTCAATCGCTAAATTCTCGGTTCGGAGTGGATCAATCTGACTGAAATTTTCAGCAAATATCCTTTACGTTATCCAGTGTTTACCTATTATAGTGAGAACTGTCAGCTCTTTATCTTATCTCACATATTCTTTAAATAATTGAATGTAAATAAGATTATATACATTCATATGTACCTTTCGGTGTAACGTTTGTCTGAATGTAGTATACACGACTTATAGCAGTGGTTCTCAACCTTTTTTTTGTCAACGGATCACCTTGGAATACATGAAAGAATAGCGGCACACCTGGCTAAATATATATGTAAAATATTTGAATTATTTTAGTCGACGACATACCGACTAGTCATAGACACATAGAATGACGCAAACTAAATAAAGAAAAACATATCTATGAACTTACTTTATTGCAGTGTTTCGAATTTCATCAGTCAAATAGCTGGCTTCTTTAGTGAGAAATTTTCTTTTTGTGCCGTTCAAAATTTCGCGGCACACTGGTTAAGAATCGCCTAATATATGGTTTTTAATTTTATTTCAATAATTCGCTTGCAGTGGGAGGAAACCGGAGGACCCGGAGAAAACCCACGAGGTTGGATAGGCGACCCTATTCCTTGTCACGTACAACCGGGGAATCGAAACCACACCACCCTTCCTAGCACTAAACTCGTGTGACCAGGTCAATATTCAGAATAACCGCAATAATTATTTCTACTTTTTTTCTATTTTATGTATAGCTACCAGCGCAATGGATACTTCTACAATGGAAAATTCGATGACAAGTTCGATGGAAAGTTCGATGGAAAGTTCGATGACCACTACTACTAATGGCGGTGGTGGAGGTAACACGATGACTGCTAATGTCGGTGGTGGAGGTAACACGATGACTGCTAATGGCGGTGGTGGAGGTAACACGATGACTGCTAATGGCGGTGGTGGAGGTAACACGATGACTGCTAATGGCGGTGGTGGCGCTAATACGGCTACGGCTACTGCAACAGCAAGTTCATCTGCAGCATCAGAGATGGCAACAGCATCAACAAACACTACAGATAATCCGAACAATAATGGACAGTCTGTTTATATTCACACATCAACATGGATTGTTGTATTTATTGTAATGCCCTTCCTCTTTCTTATACTGCCGCACTTTGCTTAATATACACATCTGTATCCTCAAATTGAATCAGAACATATTATTTGGTCGTTATCTTCAATCGGAATACATTTTTAATCAGACAAATTTTAAAGCAGAGTCATATTTTTATTCTACGAAGCAGAGCCGCCTTGATGAAGGTCCAAGATATACTTTTATTCCATGCAGCGCGACCGCCTTGATTCAGACACGGATATATTTTTATTGCATGCAGCACGACCGCCTTGATTCAGGTCCAGATATATTTTCGAATTTGAGTTTTGGAATGTGTTTATTAGCCAGAGTAAACGTTAGACGATGTCTTTTGGATTTGGACACAATCGATAGGCTTGGATTTTTAAATTCAATCACATATATTCTGAAACATTTCAACAAATCCATTCTAATTGAATGAAAATTTGTACTTTCTACCAGATTCAAAGTCACCATGTTCCTTTTAAAGTGACTTCATGATTTTCAATTCAAAATTTTACTGAATTTTTAGATTACTTTTGCAACGTGTAAGATGGATAAGACACCTCTTAGATCGAAAGTTTAACGTTTTTGATTCATCGACGGATTTAATGTTTTATTCCTATACTGTGATACAATTAATTGTTGTTTTTTGTTTTGGCATTTTAATGTTTTGCGACCTTATATGGCACTATCATTTTAACGTTTGATGTTTTGCGACCTTATATGGCAGTATCAGTTTAACGTCTAATGATCTTGACCATATATGACACTATTATTTTAACACCTGATATTCTTGACCTTATATGGTAATATCATTTTAACGTCTGATGATCACTTTAACGTCTGATGATCATATATGGCAGTATAATTTTAACGTCTGCTGATCTTGACCATAAAAGGCACTATTATTTTAACGTCTGATGTTCTTGACCTTATATGGTAATATCATTTTAACGTCTGATATTCTTGACCTTATATGGCTATCACTTTAACGTCTGATGATCATATATGGCAGTATCATTTTAACGTCTGATGATCTTGACCATATAATATGACACTATTATTTTAACGTCTGAAGTTCTTGACCTTATATGGCGGTATCATTTTAATGTCTGATGATCTTTACCTGATATGACGCTGTTGATTGTCGACGTCACAGCTGATTGCAGAGGATCGATGATGACGTACAGAATTGATACGGCAGGTTCATGGAACCAATATGGGCTTTAAATCGTAATTATTGTTTTTGACTGTATACTTCGGGAGCTTATTTCTGCGGTTATTAACTATGTACATAATTTTGAAAATTACTTGAATGATTTATTCTTAGCCTTTTCCGACATTATATCTCAACTGACAAACTATCGCCATCAAGACACGGCTTTTCATGCTCCCAATGTCGAGTAAAGATGGCTATGAATTATTATACTTTTGTTTCATTGTAACCCCTTGTTTCTACTTACCACATCAGCCTACCCTTTAACTAGTAAACACAGAAACCTTAAATACACTAAAATATTTTAAGGGTGCGGAGTTTTTATTAGTAGTGGTTTAAAATTCAAATTTCAAATGTTGGCTCTTAGCCACTGCGAAGTCTACGTTTTTAATTTGTAATAATGTGGATAGGATCCTAAACGTTCTGTTTATAAAAAATGTGCTTTATATTAACCAAACCAGCCTTCTCGTTAAAGATATTTCGAATTCCCACTGTCTAAAGGTATTTTATGTGCACGCCAATGTGTACACGGGATCTAGGATTTTTGTCCCATCCAAAGGACTAGACGCTGTCCTTACCAGACCCTCTGTCCTGTATCACCACCAAGGGCAAAATACCGGGGAGCTCGAAAGAGGCACGGGCCATGATATTCAAGTTTAAAGACTGTATGATACAAGGTCAATAAAATTGCCATTTTGACAATAACATAAAATATAAAAAAAAATACATTGAACGAGTTATAAATTTAAATTGGCCTGTTTCTTAAAAAGCTTTAATCATGCGTTATATTATTTGTATACAGTTACGTCTGGTGTTCAACCGTGTGTTTGTATGACGTGGTACGCAATTTTAATGGTGCAATATTTAATGAATTCATCTCCAGTTACAATGTTTTTCTTAACCCAACATGTTCAAGGTCTAATATGACAGAATAAAGGTCTGAAAGATAAATCAAATTTACGAATGTTTTCGGTTGTTCAAAACAATATTTTTGTCTGCCAATTCTTAAAATCAATTAAGTTGTCGCCATTTGAAGTTTGCATTGGTTTGTATTGATGTCTCGGGATAAAATAGAATATATCTTTGAGACAAGTGGCGTGACAAGAATTATGATCACCAGCCTAACCTCGTGGGTTTCCCCGGGTCTATTGTTTCTCCTCACTACTAAATATCCCTATGTGCAAGCGAATTATTGAAATAAAATTAAACCATATGTTAGAACCGAAATGACCTACTTTGTGTCGAGTGGACGTTAAACCCTCTCTCCCTAACTAATTGTGCCTTTATAAGTGTATCTTTAATCAGCATATAGACAGCAGAAAAGAGTGGTAATAATATTGGATGTTCGTAATAACATTAAAATAGAATTGTGAGATATATGCGGGGAGGGGGGGGGGCGCGAATGGATTAAGTCGCCATTGGGTGGCGTGACAAGACGTAGGATCGCATAAAACTTAACAGTTAATAATCCTCACGCCATCTGATTTGTTTATACGATTTTTTACATCTGGATTATTTACCATGTTCCTAGTCGATGAATTTTTAATTTAATGTATAATATATGATATATAGCCAGATGTTTGGGTACTAGAACCCCCACCACCTTCATCTGTCGAACAAAAAAGAACATGATTCTGGGGGCTGTTTCACGAAATTTTAACTAAGATAAAATCCAAATTTTAGTAATTTGATTGGATAATATTAGATTGATTTTAGTGCTTAGCCAATCAAAATGGAAGTATCTACTAAAATTTGGATTTTATCTTCTGGGACCCTGGAAAACTAGAAACTAAAATTGAGTCGGATTGTTTCGTTTTACAGTCCTAACTCTTTTTCAATTAGAACCCTACCACGAACACTCCCTACTCTTATCCTAAGCTGATTAAAACACAGATCCTATTTCGTTTCGTTTTTATAGTTCAAAATTTCGTTTTACTTGTCTTTACTACACTAGGATCTGGAAGAGTTGTTATCATTGACGTGTTCTGAATAGTGTGAGGTATTAGCCAATGAAACGGTCTGTTACGGCGAACTTTAGGCGTGTTTTGCACGGAACTGAGGGTAATCCACTAGTAACATCAATGCTGATTGGTTAATCAAATGTCTGACGTCATAGGGTCAAAAGCCGCTAGTATGAACTCTGACGTGACCTATCGCAAAAAAACGGTCATAACTTCATGTAGTGTAGGCCATCGAAAGTATAAAAAAAACGAAACGAAATATAGATGTGTATTTGAATGAGATTTCTCTTATCCTATCAGTATTGTTAGTTGTATAAATGTAGTTAAAGGCAGGACAATACAACCACAAGTAGTTGTTGTTGACCTATTTTAATATGTTGTTTTGTTTATTACATTTTAAAAATAAAAGACACAGTTACATAGTAATGGCAATTTTGTATGTGTTGTTTTTAATGGACGAACTGTACAGAATTAGGGTTTTCGTTGTTAGTCAAGGATCCAAAATTACTTAATTAGCAAAAAAGCAACTCTTTAAGTTAAGCTTTTGGGGACACCAAAAGGGGGCACTGTTTGTAATAAATCTTGAGTAGAGTACATCAACGAAACCTGTGTCCAAATTTTCCCATGGAGCACCAATGGTAATATAAATGCTTTTGAGTAGTCAATTTCAGGGATTAGCCACTTCTGAGTAGGTTAAAGGTCAAGTTTGGTGGTGTCCCCTCCCCCCCCAAAAAAAGCATAACTTAAGAGTGGCTTTTTTAGGGTGTGTGTGTTTGTGTTTCGGGGGTATGGGCGGGGGGGGGGGGGGTAGTGGGACGCCGATCACATATCTACTACATCTACTAATTCCGGGACTCAAACCTTTGCTACCTCATGGATTGTGTAGTTTTAAAGTCGTTTCAAACTGGGTCTTATAACCAACCTGCCTATAAGATCGGCCCGTCAGTCAATAATGGCAGCTTATCTGAGAAAATAGGCAAATGCTGACCTAGCCAGCCACTGTGTATCCATACTATATAGAAACAATATTTTATTGTAATGGATGTTGTCCCATCAAACCACCTGTTCACTTTACGATTGGACCCCTTTACCTACGCAGTCGGGGGGGGGGGGCATAGGGGAAAGGTATAGTCGTTATATGGGATGAAAATCCGAGGTCCCGTATGTATTTCATGCTTGCCCCCCTCCTCCAAAATTGGTAAAGAGAGAGAGAGAGAGAGAGAGAGAGAGAGATGGGGTTTAACGTCCACTCGAAACAAACTAGGTCATTTCGGGACTAACAAGTGGTTCAATTTTATTTCAATAATTCGCTTGCGCGTAGGGGTCTTTAGCAGTGGGAGGAAACCGGAGGACCCGGAGAAAACCCACGAGGTTGGACAGGCGACCCTACTCCTTGTCACGTACAAACGGGGATTCGAAACCACGCCAGTCGACTCAATGACAGACTTTATGATACAGCGCGCGCACGCTAACCATTCAGCCATCCCCCCCCCCCCCCATTGGTAAAGACTCCTACGCCCAAGTGCCCCCAAATGCCTTAGTTTGTGTTGAGTGGACGTTACACTCCATTTCTCTCCCTTTGCTTTCTAAAACACTTAATGATAGAGCCCCTGATACCTCTTCTCATTTGACGAGTTCACATAACTAACATCTGATATCACTTCTCATAGATTCACAAAGCTAACATCTGATATCACTTCTCGTTTAACGAGTTCAGATAGTTAACATCTGATATCACTTCTCATTTGATGGGTTCACATAGCTAACATCTGATATCACTTCTCATTTGACGAGTTCACATAGCTAACATCTGATATCACTTCTCATTTGATAGGTTAACATAGCTAACATCTGATATCACTTCTCATTTGATGGGTTCACATAGCTAACATCTGATATCACTTCTCATTTGACGAGTTCACATAGCTAACATCTGATATCACTTCTTATTTGACGAGTTCACATAGCTAACATCTGATATCACTTCTCATTTGATGAGTTCACATAGTTAACAATCTTCTTGTACCCACTGTTTTTAACCCACCGGGCTGACTATCATAAAACTAAGAAGTGCTTCGGATTCTGACAGCCAGGTTTAAACAATACTCCGTTCACACCTCATAACACCTCATACCACTTGTTGTAATGTTATGGTCGTAATAGCTCAGTGGACCGTCGATTGTCGTCATAAGTTTGATTCCCGTTTTGTTGCCTGAGGAACGTAAAAACTGCGGTCAGTGCTTTGGCGGAGAATTCTATTATGACTGGACCACAGACTGGAAACACGCCATGATTAAACCACATATTCTATTTCTTTTCGTTTTTTATAGTTCAAAATTTCGTTTTACTTGTCTTTACTTGTCTTTACTACAATAGGATCTGGAAGAGTTGTTATATAACCCGCGTTCTGGTTGATGTGAGGCATTAGCCATTAAACCGTCTGTTACACGGCGAGTTTATGGCGTGAGATGCACGGAACTGTGGATAAACCACTAGAAACGTCGAGGCTGATTGATTAATCAATGTCTGACGTCATAAGATCAAAAGCCGCTCGTATGACCCCTGACGCGACCCTCAAATCTTCATGTAGTGTAGGCCATCGAAAGTATAAAAAAAGCGAAACGAAATATAGATCTGTATTATAATCAGATTGCTTTAAACTTTGACTCAATGACAGACCTTTTTATGCAACGCGCACGCGTTAAACATTCGGCTACCCAACCCCTCTCTTCTCATTGACAAATTGTTTGCTTAAATATGTTTTTTAAGTTGAATACAAAAACTACGGTATTGCAACTCCGTAGCAACTCTAACAGCGACGGGCTTAAAGGAGCTACATCGGTAATATTTGGGACTTAGAAATATAATAATGCATGTAATAATGTAATATGAATGTATATAAACTGATTTACATTAAATCGTTCCTGTTTTACTGTAATTTCTAATCAGTTATGTTCGGCGAAATGCGCCAGAAGTCTCAATCCAATGGCAATCTCTAGCGTCTGCTTATTCCAGTCTACACCGATAGTATTTATTGCGTTTGACATGACTTGTGGAATATGTCTAGCCTCGTTCTTCGCTTCCCTTGTTACAAATGGCGCTGAAACGCATTCTGGTACACAATTCGTGTACCAGTGTTAAAATGTATATTTTGTCTTAAATAATGGATATGAGAAGCTCATCTTTTCCCGGTAAGATAACAACATCAATATTAATTTAAATTGACCAATAATTCGTGTTTTCAATGTGGAAGAATTTGGATGATACTGAGTTGGAGACTTAGCACCTTTAGCCCTGAGCACCCGTTTAAAGTACTAGCCTGTAACGCCTCTAACAGCCACGGGAGTAACCGTCGTTTCAATCATCCGAGAAGGTAACAAGATACAACTATTATTGAAGAATATTAACATAAAAGAATTAATAATTAAGTAGATTAAAATTTGTAAAGCCAACGGATTCTGATTTAAATCCATGATAAGAGGGGTACATATATTATTAAAGTTGGGAGTGAGGGGGGTATAAATATCATTAAAAAAGGGATTGCGGGTATAAATATGAATAACAATAGGATATAAACATCATAAAAAAAGGGATTGGGGGTACATTATTAATATAGGGATTGCGGGGGGAGGGGGTTATAAATGGAGGGTCTAGAGCACAAGTGATCTAACAACCAACTAAAATGGTTGGTAGTTAGATCACTTGTGCTCTAGACCCTCCAAATATAATCAAGATAAGGTTTGGGGGATATATCATTGAAAAAATGGATTGGATGATATAAATATTATCATATTATCAAAATTAGGATTGGGGGAGGGAGGATATAAACATGATTTAAATTAGCATTGGGTGGTGGTGGGGGTAGATAATTTTTAAACTTATCAGAACTAGGATATTGTGGGGTATAAATATTATTAGAATTAGAGGCGTTTTGGGTGTGGGGGGGGGGGGCGGTGTGGGTGGGTATGATTATCTTTAAAATGAGGATTGGGGGTGGGGATATAAATATAATTAAAATGAGGATTGGGAGATTATAAGTATGATTAAAATTGGAATATGGGGGTGGGGGTGTAATGGGTGTGGTGACGAAATACCGGAATTGAGGATTGGGGAGGGGGGGGGGGGGTATAAATATCATTAAATTTAGAATATTGGCCGGGGGTGGGGGGGAGTGGATTGTTATCGGTGTGGTGAAGAGATACAGGAATTGATACTATTTGTCGATGATTCCACGAAACAATCTACACGACTTTAAAACAACTTATAATCAACGTTGATCACAAGGAGATTTTGTAAGTGTGGAGTGTGAGGGAATGGAAGGAAAGGAACCACCAGGATCCTGGGTAATGAACAGTGGTGACGGTACTATAGGTTAGTGCTAAATGATAAGGCCAGCTCAATTTTCCGTCATAGGAAACGGGATGTACACAGAGCTAGCGATAATCCCAAACCTAATACACTCTCTGGATCTAGCTGTAATGCTTACTCTAACCATAACCTACAATCTCGCCCTAAAAATGTTTACATATCGGCGACATTGACAAAAATTGAGCTGGCCATAACAAATAGATTTTGCCCGGTTCTATATGGACCGGAAACCGATCCATGACGTCATCACAGCCATCTTGAAATTTTGGCGTCATAACGAGCGAGTGCTCGTATCTATGCCCTATTGTCCAAGGAACAACTAAACCAAATTTACATGTTGGTCATACTTGAGTTGAATGAGTCTTGGGGCTTTTTGAAGAGTGTCGCCTCCCCAAAACAACAACAACAATATAAGAGAGATAGAGAGAGAGAGAGAGAGAGAGAGAGGGGGGGGTATGGGGTTTAACGTCCACTCGACACAAATTATTGCATTTCGGGACTAACATATGGTTCAATTTTTTTCCATAATACGCTTGCGCGTAGGGATCTTTAGCAGTGGGAATGGAAACCACGCCAGTTGACTCAATGATAGACTTTATGATACAGCGCGCACGTGCTTACCATTCACCCCCCCCCCCCCAAAAAAAAAAAAAAACAACAAACAACTATGACCAGAACAACACGATGAAATGAAATGGGGTTTAACGTCCTACTGTTCTGCTCTGACTGAGCCAATGAAGACGGGCATACGCCAAACAGTGTGTTATAAGGGACATTTCGTCCGGACAGTGGTGCTACAGCCTACTCTTATATCGAATTCCTACTGCCAAGGGATCTTTAAGAAGGAGAGAGAGAGAGAGAGAGAGAGGGGGGGAGAGAGAGAGAGAGAGGTCATTTTGGGACTAACTTTTGGTTCAATAATTCGCTTGCGCGTAGAGGCCTTATAGTCCAGGAGCTAATGACAAAATAATATGGTCATCAGTTACAAAAGGTTTGATCCCCCAAATTGGTAGCAGGTGTTGGTAGGAGTAAAAATCAGTTGGTCAGATCGGGCACTG